AAAAAGAACTTCTAATTTCTCTGAGATTTCTAAGAGAGGTAGTTTTCAGATAAAGGGTTCTTTAAAGGGAAGTTTGCATGCAAAGAATGATCAGGCCCGGGATCCTTTGCAAGCAAGTGGGAGAAAATGGAGTGGCAATTTGGCCCTACCTCGAAAAGCCGATGGGGACTCCCAATTAGCCAATTAAAGATGACAGTGGTCTTTATTTCCTCCGCTTGCGTCTATGGCTCTTTTCTTTCCTCTGACAAATGGCTCCAGCTGCATTGGCTCAGTAATCCCGTCACATGGCTCCCTTAATTTCATCAAGCTGGTTGTTTATGCAATTAATTTTTCCAGTTATTCACCGGGGAGGCCTGGCTTGTCCAAAACTGAGTCATGGGGGTGGGGGATGGCAGGATTTGGCCACCAAAGAGGAAAGCACATTAAAATTCAGTTTCCACAATCATGAGACAGTATGTCTTTATGGGTGCAACTCAAGCCGCGAGTTATTACCCTAAATACGTTTGTGTCCTGGGCTGAAGCACCATCTTCCATTAAAACCTGCTGCATCTCCTGAGACCTGCTGTGAATCCCATTTTCAGGAATTTCACAGTACCTGGAGCTGGGTTTAACCCATAGCAGAACCGCTGCAGTTTTGCAAAGCCTCTCAGAGCTTGCAAGTGTTACCTTCTGGACTACACCTCCCAGAATCCCCAGCAAGATAAGCCCGTGAAGTTCTGGTAGTTGTTAGATAGCTTTCCCAAGTTTTGATCCTTACAAAGATCAATCAGACCTTAGCTGAAATGCAACAGTGAGTTATAGCTAGTTAGGCCCATTGAATCAGTGAACATCTGGTGAATCAACTCCTTCCTAAGTTCCATCGATTCAATGGAAGTCAATTTAGTTGCAACTTACTACCAGATTTCAGTCATTGTCTAATACTGCAGTTTGTGGCTTGGCAGACATCTAAAAGCACAGCTAAAGGTGGACTTTTTGTAAAATAAGATTAATAAATGAACCTTCAACAATGGACATATACTTACTCGTACCACAGTTTGGCAGGCTTTTGGATCATCTGGACATATTCCCTTTCTTGGTTTTGTTTTGTCTAACATCTATATACAACTTTGTGCGTTAAAAAAAAACAATCCTGCATCGCTGCCACTTGCTTGACTGTGTTGTTCTAAAATGTTCAAATTATATCTGATTGCAACTTCACAAGGACCAATTGCCTATTTCTCTCCATATCTAATTTTAAATTGAACACCCATTTCACATTTAGCGCCAATCTACAGAAATGCACCCAAATTAAAATGTATTTGCCTCCGATAGTACCCAACTTACATGTTTCTGGATCCTGGTTAATCTTCCTGGTGGGAAGGAGATGCAGCCAGAGTGGCATCTCAGCTATAGAAGGGAAGTGAGTTTAACTTTCCCCCTGGTGGTGTCCTGTCCAGAACTGCACCCCTGGACTAACTAGCAATTCCAGGAGGAAATCACCATTGATGGCCCATTCTTTACAGGCCTTCAGATGGCTCTTATGATAAGCCTGTTGCGACCTGATTTTTCCTAAAATATGAACAGCTTGGGAGTTATTGGTTACAAATAATGAGTTATTTGCAATTAGCTCCATTTCCCCACATGCAAGTATTGCGAAATCACAAATGCAACTTAATGAGAAGGTAACACTGCTTGTTTTGCTGTGTGACTGCCATTTTATAATGATCATGGGCAGAAATGGATGTTATATAGATCATCTGTTACCCAAAGAGGGAAATCCTTGACTATTGAAAGCCTTTCAGTGTAACAGCAGAGGCTTCGCTCAATCCATACGAGTCTGGAAATCAATTTGATTTGTTTGGGGATTGGTCTTCAGGACTTATTGGAAATCTGAATTCACATATCTGAGAGAGAGAGAGGGTTTCCAAGTCAGTAGCTTCCCATTCCTGAGATTCCAGGGCCAAAACATGAGACCCAGGAGCAGCCTTTAGTGTAACGATGGCAAAACAATGGCTGAAATCCTTTTGATAAGCATAGTACGTCACACTAGAGGAGCCCTATTGAATCACTGGATTTGGTGAATGAACTCCTCTGTAAGTTCCATTGATTCAGAGCTGCCCAGTCTACTTTACTTTAGCACAGTAGGTCCAAACTAGAGTAGGCCAATTTGAATGGATGGATTCAACAAAGGAGTAGACTCCCCAAATCCCTACTGATTCAATGGACCTCCTCTAGCGTGACTTATGATGCTAAGCAAAAGGATTCCAGCCAACACGTCTTAATGCATACAATAGGGCAGGCAATGGGGATTTCCGCCACTCCTTTCTAAACCACTATTACAAGCACCACATACGTAAGAACAAAATCATTGTGCTGATCTGGTGCCAATGAGGAGGAAATGGGTACCATTAAAGTCATCATGTTAAAAAAAACATTTTCTATTTCTCCAGTACCGTCTACTCTGATCTTTATCTGTCCATTTGAGGATCCAGCATAACAATTCCCGGAGACTTCAGCCAAAGCTGTAGACCTGCCAGCCATATGAGTGAGTGCCTCAGTTACTTCTCTCTCTGACACGGATGTGCTCTGATCTCTAATTACAGGCGTTTTGTAAGGTCTGTTTCTGCTATTATAAAGTTACGAGGATGTGGCCTCATTGGAGAGCGGAAGAGAAATACCACATGGTTCAAGTGTTGGCTCATGAAGAGCCTCATGCTATTTCATTCAGGATGATTTCACAATAAAACGATTTCAGTTGCCACTGAGAAACAGGAATGCAATAAAACCTGGGTATTTTGTTTTGTTTTTAGATTTCTAACTATAATGATAACTAACTAACTGCTATTGGGGTTAGGGAACTACCATAGGTAGCTAAGTAATTTAAAAATGTCTTTCTAAGTTATGAAAAAGTATTATGCTATGATTGTCTTGAACTGGTGCTAAAATACTTTGGCATGTGGAGAGAATCCATATGTATATTTCCCTATAATCTCCCCCAACGCACACAAATGGATTCAGTAAGATGAATTTTATAGCAACCTTAGGGATGAGGTATCTCTGTAATCCTCTGTACTTGAACACAATGGCCAGCATCCTATTCAATATGCACAGGAGTGGAACTCCAGCTGTGGAAGGTGCCATAGCAAACTGATGCAGCCTCAGCCACACACAACCAGGTACATGGCCAGTACTTTGTCACATCACCATAGCAAATACTTCAGTTCCAGGTACATGGATTTTAAACAAGATAGTGGTCAATGTGACTGAGAACATCTGTGTGCAGGCTATGCAATACTCGCAACTTGGTCTTCAAAAAAATCATTGTTGCCCCTTAGGATCTGATTAAGCATCCTAGATCCATGTGTGGAGGTGCTAAATACCAAGGGGTCAAGTATGAATGAGAAAAAGCTGTTGCTTTTAGAATCATCTTACACACACTACCAAAGAATCTGGCTGATACCTGTTGGAAATAGTATACAGTACTAGGTGATGCTTCTGATCTACAGCTACCAGGGGGAGAATTTGAAAGCTACACTCCCAACTTGTGTTTGCAGCTTGCATTTTGGAACTCATTGTAAGAAACAGACCTGGAATGGACATCTAGTCATAACTTTTGGAAAACCCGTATGTTTTTTCTATATCATCCACAATATACAGCCTGATGAAAACTGGTATAGATCAAAAACCATCTCTCTTTTTAATATAGGTACCACCTGCTCTTGTTTTTGTATTTCTTCCCGGTCTGTGTCCTCCTCATGTTCCTGAGGAGGGAAGATTTTTTCAGAGGGAAGATTTCACGAACTTCCCTAAAAATGTGAAACCCACAATTCCTTTTAGGATATGTATTCTTAAAGATGCCAGAATCATAACTGTTTCAAAAACACACACAATTCAAGAATCAGCTGCAGATCATATAAAATGTAGAAAACATCACCAGTAATATCCCCCCCCAACATTATTAATTGCTGATTGTTATTCATTCCTGACATTCTCGGTCATATTAAATTCTTCTTCCTAGCAAATGAGCAATCTAGATGATTTTGTATCAGCACATGAGTTGCAGGGTGGGGGAGGATCTCATGCACCAGTGGGCGGTGAGAGGAGGAACAGGGAGTATGAAAGATTCATAGTGCCTTTTTAACACGCTTCTTGTTCTTTGCAAAAGCCATCCAAGCCCCCTCTGCAGCTGTTGTTATGTAAAAAGCAAGAGCTGGTTGCCTCAAACGATTTTGCTGGCGTCAGTTTGTGTTGGCGTACACTGTATTTAACACCGGACCTGTTCCTCCTCGCTCGGACGATCCTTTCTGGGTTTGTTTGAGTTTCTCCTGACAACTATGCAGCTTGAAGAGGGGCTAACAGGGCCTGCAGTTTGTCAGCCGAACCCTCCCTCGGCAAGCGGGATGGAAGGAGAGCTGACATCCACTTTATCTGTCTGAAAAACCTCTGAACTCCCCTGTCCCTTCTCCGAGATCTGGAGGGCTGGTTTGGCTCCAGACATGACGTCTGGTTTTGATAAGGCCATCTTGCAGTCTGGCAGAGTCTCCTGGGATGCCGGTGAGGAAATGCAGTCTGAGGTTGTGCTGTTTTTCGCGGCGCTTCCTTTCTCCGTTTTGTGATGTTCCAAGAGGGCTGACCCTTGAGCGGGACACAGCCGTGTTTGGGTTCCCTCAGGAGCCACGGCCACTCCCTTCTCTGGTTTTATCTCCGTCCACACAAAAGCCCCACGTTTCTGCAAGAGGGAAACAAGGTTGATGTGAGCCAGGAGGACATAGAAGCAGTGAGGAGATGCAGCCGTGAGCTGAGTTCATTTATTAGCTCAAGTGCTAGCGCAGCATCTTTCTGCTCTCTTGGCCTCTCCGCTGGCCGGCAGCCAACATTATGATAGCTGGGAGCAACACAAGAAGAGCTGAGCCATCCCAGCTTTTCTGATGAGCGGGATGAGGGAGGACCCATGCAATGATGGCCAGGAAGCAACAAGTGAAAAGCAGAGGGAGCAGGACTTCCCTGCTGTTCTTCCCATCTCTGCTCCCCAATTCTGATTTGGAGGGGTTCCTCTCTTGCCTGTCAATGGCATCCTATCTCTGTTGCACACTCTCCTTCCCGTCAGATTTAATTTCTTGAGACTTACCGTAACACACACCAGCAAAGTTGCTATGGATACAATTTTAAACCCATTTGCTTTTATAGGCCAAAAAGATTTATGGTGTATTCTCAAATGACTTTGGCCATTAGAGTTGTACAAGGATAACACCATTATTTCAAAAGAGGAAAGGAAAAAGAAGAGTAAACAAACAGGACTCTTGTTTCCTCACCAAACACCTCCAATAAGAGGGTTCTTCAGAAACATGATATAACGTTTACGAAACGGAATGGAATGCTTTGGCCAATTGGGATAGTCAAAGCCTCAGTTTTCTCAGGCTTTTATTGATTTTCTCTCTCCCTCAATGGCAAGCCTGAAACCTTCCACATTAATTTCGTCTGCAATTCCTTTCAGCATAACAGCACTTGGGTTTCCTAGGCCAAATATACATCACAGATAACACATCATTCAAAGACAAAAATCCTAATATGCCAAAAACATCTCATTAGCACATCAGGTGCTGCTAACGCCCCCTGCAGTTTGCATATTAGCTTGCTTTGTGTTGTGATTTTTTAAAAATCACAACATCAAAAAAATCCTTACTTCTCCCTTTCCTTTTTCACCCCTACTAAACTCCTTTCCATGTCCAAAAAGCACAATAATCTATGCACCCGGGTAATCGGGGCTCGTTAACCTTGGAAGGCAGCCCATCTAGGAGAAGGAAAACTCTGATTTCAAACCCCCACTGCCTTGTGGCTATATCCACTGGCAACTCCTGCGACGTCGCTGGAACCAGTTGCGTTGGTTCGCCTTTCCATTGGACTATTTCAGCGATGTGGAGAGGGGGATCTGCTGCTTGGGTAACAGCCTATCCTCCATATTATTTTACCCAGGCTTCGTGCTCTGGAGAGGACACCCCAGCTTCGCATACAGCATCGAAATAAAACTGAAGGAGCAGTTACTGGTTTATTGGAGATATTATATATAACAAAGGAAGGTTATTTTGGTGGGATATGGAATCCTCAGAAATAAATGGGAACATTGAAAAACATTGGTTTAATGTAGTAAAAAGAAATACAATACATCAGGTGAACAACCCTTTTTAAAGGAAATGCTTTAAAAAATTAGTTTAAAGTGGTACATACCTCCAGTGAAATTGAACATAATAAATTCAGACTATTTTAAGGTCTGTTGGAAATGTGATGAAGAAACTGGCATGTAATATCATATGTGGTGGGAGTGTAAATTGATTCAGAAATTTTAGAAATTGATTTTTAAGGAAATATGTGATATATTTAGAAAAGATATCGAACTTAATTCTAAAATTGCTTTGCTGTCAATTTTTTATAAGATAGAAGTTGATTATTGCTCAAAGAAATTGATTTCTAATTTTATGACAAGTGCTAGAATATTAATACCTAGATTCTGGAAAGATAAAAATTAGAAGATTGGTATAATGAAGTATGGGACATTGCATTAAATGATAAATTGATTACTGAACTTAAGATGAAAAGAGGGTAAATAAGTTTAAATATTTTTATGCTATTTGGGGTAGATTTGTTGAATTTGTATTAGTGAAAGGAAAGGGGAAAGCCTCTAA